AAGAGAGAGAATACGAGAGAGAGAGTGCACGAGAGAGCTGTGCCTAGTGAATAAATGTTTACTGACTACAGAAGCAAGCCATGCACAATTTCTGTATCTGTTCAATTTCTATCTTACTTATTCCATTTGAATCTTAATGAAGAAGGATGTGAATAAATTGCTCTAAGTCAGGCTGCACAGTCATCACATTTTATAGAATTTGTAACCCAATTGTGACCCCTGGAGGATAGCTACAGGGCTGCTGCTGCTCGTGTGCTGCTGTGCCTGCACAGGTGAACGCGCTGCTGGGGGGATGGTTCCAGATCAGAAAGCCCACAGAAGTGTACTGCAAACCACTGAACTCATAAATGTGGGAAGCTATAAGAGGAGCAGGGAGCACAGAAGAGCAGCTATAAGCAGATATCTGAATTTCAGCTTCTGAAGGTTTGTGAATTGTTCAATAAATGCAGAGGGCCATTCATCTGTGGTGAGCAGTAGTAAGCATGGAAAGATAGGTTCAACTTTCTCTTTGCTACTGCTACTAATGCAGCCACAGTTGCTTTATAAATGTTTTTGTTTATCCTGTATGTGCATTTGGCAGTTCACTTGGATAGCCAGGGTTTAGCATTAGGTCACACATCTAAGACAATTGGGGAACTCGGGGAAACCCTTTCACCTGACTGCAAATCCTGATTTACTGAAATTGCTGTCCCTCTGCAGTGGTGTCAAGGAGGTGCAGATGTAATCTGTAGCAGTGCAGGTGATTGTTTGAAAGATTCCTCACAGGCAGAACTATTCAGATTAATTTGCACTCATATTTCAGATGTGTTGCTGTACTTAGAATGGCTGCTAAGTCCAAGTACAGAAAGTCACCACTGTATTGGTGACCTATCACTGTTTCTCCTTGGGTATGATATTTATTGCTTTGCAAAGGTCTTTAGGGAGTTTCAGCACACAAATGAAGGTATAGAAATATTAATTGTTGTCAGTCTCCAGTGCATCAGTTGTGTATAGTGTGAATACATGCATGGCAAAAATGGCAATTTCACTTACATGTGAAAATATATATATATCTACAAGTGTAAGAATAAAAAAAAAAATCATGTGAACTGTAGAAGTTGTTGGTTGCTAGATTTATGTGTCTGTGTTGTTCTGTCAAAAGCTTCTGAACCACTTCGCTTTTCCTGGGAAGCTGTAGGTGTTGGTGTTACTGCCATTTTATGTCAGCATGAAACAGATTTTCAGCCCAGTTTTGCACTTGTAACCAAGTTTGTTGTCAGCTACAACATACAGTCTGTTGCCAGGGTAAATTAAAAATTGCATTTCTTTGGAATGTCAGAATTACCATATGGAGTCAAGACTTTATGTTATTTATGAAACTGGACCTAATCTCATGTCTATGACTCTTGGCTTCTAAAGCAGATAGGAGGTTTGAAAGCTGTTTCAGATGATATAATCCATATTTCTGTATTTAGGTACCTTATATATTACAATGATTAATATCATCACTGGTGGATCAACATTTTTATTCTTGATATTTGATTAAGTGTATTCTACTTTGCTTCTGTGTCTGAATTTTGTCATGTATTTGTGTAGGTATATTTCTTTATTGTGGAAATTTGTCAGCACAAGAATAGTTGAGGGTTTAAGGTGTTTGGGTTCCTATGTTAGGCTGTTTAGGTATTTTTGCATAAGAAGCTGAATGCTAGTAAAACTTGGGTGCTTGTGAAAAGCTAACTGCTGGCATTTATGTTGCATCTGTAATTTCAGAGTTAACGTCACGTACAAGCAAATTAACTAGGTCTTGTTTTCTAGACCTATGGATTTGTATGCAGAAGAAGAAAAACATAGTATTAGTTTGTACTCAGCTGACACTTTAAACTTTCTTCATTTTATGATAACATAGAATTTCTAGTAAGACCATTTTGGCATTCCATTTTTTTTAAATTGCTTTTGAACTTAATTTGCCCAAGGTACTGTGGAAGAATCTAGAGGTCAGGAAGGAGAACTGATGGTATTACAGATAATGAGATTATGGAGGACACAGGAAAAGCTGCAGTAGTTGCAGGAGTATGGGGCAGGGATACAGGAAATACTCCAGGATAGCAAACTTTATTGGTTTCACAGCTCACAGAACAACTAGATTTGGCTTGACAGCTACTTTAGGATCTCAGACAGCTGATACAAAACAAAACTGAAAATGTGAAAGCTGTGTTTGTTTTCCTCCTTGGAGAGAAGGGAAAATCTTCCCTGCTAGCTGAAATTTGTAAAAAAGAAATGAAGTTGGAATGGACGGACATTAAAGAGAAATTATTATAAGAAAGAAAGTGTCAAGTTGAGATCTTAAATAAGTAATTTGATATCAACAACAACAGTAAAAAAAATATAGGAAAGATGGAAGTGAAATATGTGTGGAGACATTTAATTTGGTACTGCAGATAAGTGTTTTGTCCTTGAAAAAAGAGAGGAAGATTAGACACTGATTCAACTGTACACAGGGGAGATCAGTATCTAAGCTAGTGACTAAAAGACAAGTAGTGAAATTAGAGCCATGGTAAGGAAAGATTGGTAATGACTGGATGAAGAATGAGACCTGCAAATTTGAATCTCATAAGAAGGAATTAGAGCAATAAGCTGCTTCCTAAAAGCATAGCAAATGGTGTCACTTTAAGGGTGCTAAATATTCTGAAGAATGATGAAGAGCTCCCTGCTGATTACAGTTCACTTTGGAAGGAGCAGAAGTAATTAATTAATATACACCCAAAGATAGGAATTCTTTTAGAAGACTGTCATGAGTATGGGAGAATTGTGGTACGATCTTCTTAAGGCAATCATAAGAGCAAAAGAAGAATAGAACCATAACAGAGTCACAAATGGAATAAACTCTAAGCGTTAAGAGGAGGTGACTGCTTTACAATATTGTCCTTGCCTCCAGGAACAGCAAAATCAGTTAACAAAGCTTCTGGAAGCAAAATATGTAATATGTATTTATACACAATTTTGCTCAATGCAAACAGTTAGAAATTTACTGCTGTAGTAGCAGCAATATATTCGTACAGACTTCTCCTTTCTTGAAGAACTCAAAATTCCCTTGTGTGAAGAAGCTCTTTGCAGTTTGTAGGAGAGATTCCCTGCCTTGCAGAGCTTACAGTGTGAATGAATAAAGCAGACAAATGATGTGATGGTAATCAGTAGCTTAGCTTGTCCACAGTCAGTAGCAAAACAGGGATAGAATCAAGTCTTCTGTTTCCCACTCTAGTAGCATTTCTGACAGCGTTTCCTCTGTGAGGTAAATCTAGAAAATACTGTTCTTTGAAACAGAAAACGACTAAACGTGATTAGTAGCAGGACTTGTTAGCTTTAGCAGAGTGCTCCACTGACACAGCTTCTGAGTCAGAGTTAGCCCACATTTGTCTGGAGCATAGGCTTGAGGCTCGGGCTGTAGGTGTCATGTGAATTTGGCTTTGTTTGCGTCCATCCGTATAGGTACTTGCCTAAAATTATTTATACATTCAAGGAACAAACAGACATGACTAAAAGTTATTGTTAAACACTGGTTTGTGGGCTCATAAGCGTAACTGAAAATGAGTGAAAAGGAAAGGCAGAACTGTAATAGCAACATAGATGAGCATGTATATAGAAGAGGGAAAAGAGAAGTGGTAGGGGAGACATGGTGCTACTAGTTTTAGCAGGAACAAGTACTTGAACAATGGAACATTGCATTTCATCGAAGAAGGACCTTGTGTACCTAAATGTATGCCAACTTTCTTACTCTCTAAGTAGAGCTCAGTACAACAGTGATTCCAGCAGTTCTTGTATTTCCCTGTTTCATTTTACTGAAGGTTCAATGAAGAAACCTGGTGACAGAGTGCAAAATGTATCCCTGACCAGCAAAAAGCCCCATGTTTAGTTATAACCCACTGAACACTAAGATTAGATTGGGTCTTTTGACAAACACAAATACTGCCTTATGTTGCAACCTACAGTTTTATATACAGGATACCAAATCACTCACAGGAACATCTTTGATATTCAGAAGTTTTGTGGGTTACAGAATGCAGTTCAGCCAACATTTGCATACTTAAATGCTGTTTGTAGAGATTTGCTCACAGATATACTGACTGAATCAATCATCGTATGTGAGATTCAAAGAGAGAAAATCATTTTTGTGTGTGTGTAAGTCAGTATTTTTGGTCAATATTTGATTGACCCGTGGGTCTTTTCTGCCTTATAAAGCTGGAAATAATGTGTATTGTACTTCTTCAAAACAGGAAAAGCTAGCTGAAGAATACTTAGGTATATTATAGTAATAAAGGAAATCTAGAGATGCCACATCTGTGTTGTCACTAATGTGGACTTGGCTAAATGAGAGGATAATGATACTTCTCACTCTTGTTTCTTTTGATGGCTACAGACTCACTGTGATAACAGAGATGATTTGAATAAGTTTTTCCGAGACTTCTGATGGGCCTCATGGTATTGTATGCCCATAATGAATGTGGAAAGTACTGTGTAGCCATATTTAGTGTGAAATTAAGTCAGGACTAGCTCAGGTCTGCAGATTTTCCTTATCTTTTTAAGAGAATACATTGTTCATTATTTTTCTGGCAGATCAAGAGCTAAATGCATTAATAGATTAGACCTTCAAGCCCAGTAACATATTTCCATTCTGCTTTAAAATGCATTTCTATTCTATCATCTTTATGATAAGTTTTTCCTGGAAGTAGAAGACTATGAAAAATATTTAACTAGACATAAAGGAGGGATAAATTATCTTCAAGTAGTTTGGTAGTTCCAAAAAGTGAATTGTGCAGTTCTGAATGGACTACAGAT